CTCTAATTTATTTACCTTTGCTGGCAACAATCAGAACATGTGAGGTAAAAACGTCAAAACAGGTGAATGACATATTTTGGCATGTTTGTTTTATTTTTTTAATATTAAAAATATTGAATAACTTATCATAATTATTGGTGTACTTGCAAATAATAGTATATTACATACCGAGTAGGGAAGTGTTTAATTTCTGTCTCGAGATTAATAGTCAATCTCGACGCTTCGCGTCTCGATTGACTATATAAATCTCTCGACAGTAATGAAACACTTCCCTACTCGTTATGTAATATACTATTATTTGCAAGCACACAATTAATTATGATTAGTCAATCAGTTTTTTTTTATATTAAAAAAATAAAACAAACATGCCAAAATGTGTCATTCACTGCTTTGACGTTTTTACCTGACATGTTCTCATTGTTGCCAGCAAAGGTAAATAAATTAGAGTGAGGGAAATCGGTGAGGGAAGTCGAATTAGACAATCTCAATCACGTGATTTTATAATGGCCGTTCGGGTCAAATATTGCGGTGACAGGGGTGACAAGACGGTGACGTTCATAAGGAGAGCATTTGTGCACATTTGTGTTCTGGCCCTTGTTGCTTTCGAAGTGAATTTTATAGTCTTTGGTGTTTCTATGTATTTTTTATTGGTTTTGGCCATTGTTGTTTTCATGGTGAATTTTATAGTCTTTAGTATTTCTACGTATTTTTCAGTGTTGTGGCCCTTGTTGATTTCAAAGTGAATTTTGTAGTGTTTCTACGGATTTTTAAATTTATTAATAAATTCTGAGATGGAGAGTGAATATCTTAAGGTATTATTATTAAGGGAAAATCGAGCCTCTGTTAGATTCTTTCTTTTAATTGCAGTAATAAAGCCCTGCGTTGTTTTGATAATTTATATTTGTAGATCAAAAGCCAATGATTTAAAATAGCAGGAACTGAATAAAATTCACATTATCCCTGTTACCTCGACTTCCACACCCAATTACGATGCAAATCGCTGGCATTTTAATAGACCTATCTCCTATTACCTGGACTGCGCGCGTCGCTTGTAGGCTGCAGGTGAGCGTCCAATCAGAAGCAAGTTTGTGACAGGCTTGCGTCATATTCTTATTCAGGGGCCAGTTCAGAATGAATCGTTCCTTCTTTCTTTGTAACGTGTAATTTGACAAAGAGCAAACTAATTCTTTACATATTACTTGAACTCACCGCAGTTTCGTTTAAGATTATACTTGACATATTCCTTTGCAATTTCATTGAGCGATGTTGCCGGACGAAACATTTATCAAAATAAAAGTGCAAACGATGTTCATCCACTTTAAAGCTCTTCTTTTGTCTGATTCAAGGCATTGTAAAATACTTGACACTATATCGCTTCTTTAATGTTATAATATTAGATTTGTATTGTCTTCATTTATTCTGCAACAATACAATCTGGCTACACTGCAGCCTACGAGTTGCGCGCGCATGTCATCTTTTATTGCTTTCTAACTTGTATTTATTACAATTAAGCTCTCTTTTTCTAATCATGCGAGATAGGTCTATTAACACAATACCTAAACACACAAAAAAAACACAGAATCCGATAATTCAAATCTTGACGTTTGTCCAGAATGTGACAGAATCAATGACATACAGAATAAACAACACAGTGCTTGATCCAATGTTTGACCCGAACTTCCATATTTAATTTCGTTTTTGACAGGTTAGTAGATTGCCTAATAGGGAAATCGGTGAGGGAAATCGAAGAGGGAAGTGACACAGGTAATGTGTCACTTCCAAATTTTTAAAAAGTCAGTAATGACATGATTACATATATGATTGCAAATAAAATAAATTTTATTTACAATCATACATGTAATGTTGACTTTACTGACTTTTAAAAAGTTTGAAAATGTCACTTTTTTGACTTTTACTTTCGGCCCACAAGTCGAAAGTTTACTTTCGACCCGTGGGCCGAAAGTAAATGAAATTTTTAAAATTTATTGTATTTTTTGACTTTTACTTTCGGCCCACGGGTCGAAAGTAAACTTTCGACCCGTGGGCCGAAAGTAAATGAAATTGTTAATTATTGTATTTTTTAGTTTTAATCCAAATGAAAATTTCAAAATTCGAATGATTGTAAATAAAATAGTATACATACCTCGGTGAAAAGTTTCATTACTGTCGAGAGATTTAAGTTAGACCGAGCCGCAGCCGACGTCTAACTGAACACTTTCCACCTCGGTATGTAATATACTATTTCCCACAACTTTCATTATATTCTACTTTGAAATTTTGAATCCAGTCTCAAAAGGAAAAAAGTAGATACCAACGGTACTAACGGTACCAACGGTACCAATGAACATGGATGTTTTTAAATTTCAATTGATAAGATAGATAGGGACCTATCGGTTTTGGGCAAAATTCATGCCAGTACGATTCACATTTGAATTAGGGGCGCCAAAGTAGGATCTCGCTCTATCCTGAAAGTAGGCTCGGGCCGGCACTGAATGGAAATAATATTCAGCTTTCTTGGACTTATTTATTAAATTTAAAAATCAAATAGCCAACGTTTCGATGCTGGTTAGCATCATCATCAGGGCCAGATTATTCTAATTAAAAATCAAACACATTGTTTAACTGCATACGTTAAAAATGTTTGTATTATTATGGACTACCATCCAGTCCAAGAAAGCTGAATATTATTTCCATTCCTCATAACCATATTCGTGGACGTGATACTTTTGCGACTGTTATATATGTAATGTTGATTACCCAAAAACAAGTTTTCATGTTCAAATCAAAAAGTTTTTATTATGTGCTTGGTGCTTTCATTCACTTCGACCAGAGTTCTTTTTCAAAAAATAATTAAAAATAGGTATGTTGCCTCATATTTATTTATTTGTATGTTTAAGTAATACTTTGTTTCATTGGTGTTTGGTTTTTATTTTGCTTGTGTGTAGTGTATAATTCAATATTGAATTTTTTAATAATGTTTAGATATTTTTGTGTTTTTGATACCTAATTTATATTTTTTATCACTATTATTATTTTTTAACTGTTATTGGAGTATTGTCAATGCATTTTTATGTTTTAAGCAACTTTAAGTCAATAAGCAAGATTGAATTAATTAATAATTGTCTAGTCTACATAGAGAAAATAACTATTTTTTTTTTCTTGTTATTTTCAGCCTTGAAAAAGACTTTAAATAAAGTCGAAACGTCGGCATTTTTTAAAATTTAAAAGGGACTTTGAATTTTTTTTGCCCTAAACCCACAACACTTCCTATTCATACAACTGTTAAGGGCGCAAACCTTCTACAATTAATATAAATAACTATATTTAAAATTTCGAACTTTAGAATCAGTTCCAACAAAACTTTGAAGCTTGGTTTTGTCGATAACTTTAAAACCATAAAGTTGGCACAGATAATATAGCTCTTTCCTTCTCAGTTACCAAAGTGAGTTTAAGTTAATACATCTAGAAACATTAATAAATTTTGTACTTGCGGTCCAAAAATGCTGACACAATTTCAAATTTTTGACTTAAAAATTTTCAATTCAATTTTCAATTCAAAAATTTAAAATTCTGTCAGCATTTTTGGACCACAAGAACAAAATTTATTCATGTTTCCGAATGTATTAACCTAAACTCACTTTTGTAACTGAGGAAGCAATCAAAGTAAAAGCGAAAGCTTTTACAAAAAAAAAAAAAATTAAGAAAAAAAAATAGGAATAAGAATTGGCCGTAACCCCACAATGTATTAATTCATTATCCTAAGACTAGCCACGAAATCTCCTAATCTTATATAAAAATATATGGAAAAAGTTAATTTCGACCCATTTTCGGTCGTACAAATTAATAAGTTGAAAATTTTGGGAATGCGGTCTGTCTGTAAATGCTAAAACTCATCAGTGACTCTATATATACAATTTATTTTATTAAATTAATTGTAATGCATCAATTCTGATTTTTCAATAGTTTTTCTATGTTTTTCAAAATTTATTTTACGGGCGTAGATAAAACTATGAATTCACCAAAAAAAATAGAAACATTCATCACAGTATATCTACCAAAAATACACCAATTAAAAAATAGACGAAAACTTTTTACTATCAATATGAAACAAAATATTTTAAACGTCAAAACGCCAAGTGGAGGCATATTCTAGAACGATTTGAATAATTCAGTTTTACATCGATTTAGTTTTCGCTTTATAAATCCTCACGATTCAAACAAATAATGTGGGTAGTTGCATGCGATATTAATAAATGAACAGTTTGCATCATACAATAAATCGATAAAATCCGATGCGATTTTATCGTAGGTAGGTACCTATAAATATTTTCAATCTTCTAGAGTGAAACTTACGTAAGCGACTTTCAGTTGAATGACAGGATGTTTAATTAAGGCAATGACGCAACACAGAAGAAATTACACGATATTGCAAAGTTATACGATACGAATTAGGCCAAAGCGATTCTGGTTTGAATTTGGAATTTGAGCAACTCGCTTATAGTTAGCACGAACATCATCAATAACTTCTAATTAGTTTTCCGATTGGAGTCTGAAGTTGGCTTTAGAAATGAGTGATTTCATTGATTAGTTGAAATCGAACAGAAAACTACTTGAGTACCTAAATTTTCAAAAGCCTGTATAGCAAAGTATGCTGAAGCAGAAGGGAGCAGATATAATTGTTTGCAGAATTCGTTCCGAAAGTCATATCCCTCATCGCTTTGTATATAATTTTTTTTAAGTCCCGAAAAAAATTAAATTTTAGTAATAATTAAGTCACGATTCAACCACCAAGTTTTCTCTCAAAGCTTAAAACATTGAACCAATCTTTCAATAAACCTCAAACCGTTAACTAACATTAAATTAAATGAGCTCCAAACCCATATCACTCTGTATAATATTTTCTTTACTAAGCTACCGAAATTGAATCCCTGGATTTCAGCCAACAATCCGAGCGAGCAATAAACTGTTGCGGCTTTTAATAAGTACACAAAGAGACTTACCAGTGGTAATTATTGCGACAGACTTCCACTTCATGTCCGCCACCACCCTGGCAAATCCAGAGGCGATTTCGGTCACCCACGGACTCGGTTCTGTTCTGATATCGTTCTTGAATGGCTACGAAAATCACAGTTATTTGAATGGTTGTTCTTAGGCCTATCTTATGAGATTTTGTATTTATGTTGAGGTATCGCCATAAAATGTTAACCAAAAATGGTTATTATTATAAAACAATAATTGAAATTTTGAAGCAAATTTCCGTAGATCAAAGCTAAATTGAAAATAACTCAATTGACGGTAAAATACCCAATTAAAAAGTTTCGAAATCCCTCTAAAATTGAAATTCAAACTTTTTTCCATTGGCATTGAATGTCTACCCCAAAAGTTTATCTTAGGAATCGGACTTACGGTTGGGCAATTCCATGAGCGGAGCGAAGTATTAAAATAATCAGCGATCTGTTTGGCAGAAGTACAAATTTCTGGATGAAAAGAGCCAACCACCGGGCCCGAACTAGCTGATGACGACAGAACGTGTAGAAGTTTCTGATGGCTCTCGCATGTGTCTGAAACAAAAACAAAAATATATATTAACTGAAGAAAAAATAATTATTTGGAGAAGAATTATTACGGAAAATGTGAATTTGTTCTCAAAGATTTTTAACAATAATTGGCTTGGAGAGATTCAGAAATACTTTATCTTTGAGAATCGAATTATCCGCATAAAGTTTGACACTAGACATTCAAATAATACAAAATAATACAGCACATTTTAGAACTCGAGATTTCCCCTTTCCCCAAATGAACTACTCAACAATAACGTCAATATTCTTGACAATCAACAATTCAAAATACAAGTTTTTTTTTTGTAGCTTGATAATTTCCACGTAATTCAACGGCTTCCGAACAAAAAGAGTAAATCTTCAACAACGAAACAGGAAAATTCAATTTTGAGATTAATAGCCTTCTGCGCCAATGCTACAAAGCATCCGGTTTTAGGCAACTTTTGCCACCGTATTTACGAACCTTCATAAATCTGAACCGGGATTGCTTCAGGATTTAATTAAAAATAACTTCAATTAGAAAGATTATTAGGGTAAGGAATATTACCAAAATTAATATTCAATTAAGCCATAAGGACAAACTTATTAAACGGCCTAAACTCAAAATTGATTTATGCTCCAACTAAAACCACTACAGCCCAAACTTTCCCGTTGAAATTTCTACGGAATCTGTTACTAGATCAAAAGCTTATATTAATAAAACAAACTTTCCATCTAATCTAATAATAATTCGTCTTGGCTGATTGAATTAAGGTACCTCCGCTCGAATTCGCTTGTCTAGTCGCCATGTGCCCAAAAAGCATTTCTGATAATTTTGGCCATTTGAGGCACATAAGAAAAAAAAAAGATTAATTAACTGCCTGGAATTTCCTTATTTAAAAACAATTGTTCAATAGAAATAATATAATAAAATATTCACGGTCAAAGCGTGTCAGGTCAGCAAAAGTGTCGACCTTTCACTATTCCGGAACATAATAGGTTCATGTCGTAACAAGGTTAGAGACTTAAAATTATGACAAATTATTATTAAAATTATTTTGACTTAGATTAATATAAATTGTGATATTTTCCTTATAAAATCAGTATTCAACTAGTAGTAAAATATTACTGTTGTTTTTACTCACAAAAACCTATTACGGCCAAGTCACCTTGCCTGTAATCTATAGTGAGACTGCTATAGAGTAGTAGGGAATATAAAGGCTCAGGGCTCAGGAATTTTCCCTGGCCTTAACATGGTCCTTTGAGCAAAAAACTAGCAGAAGAAGAAAGCCACTCTACTTGAGCCACACACGCCGAGCAGAGAAGAAGAAAAATAATCCACTGAGCCACAAGCCAGAAGGAAGAAAACCATTACTCTACTTGAGTCTTACACACAAAGCAGAGAAGAAAAAAGCCACTCTAGTCGAGTCGAACCACACACGCCGGCCAGAGAAGAAAAAGCAAAAAAAAAAATAAAATCTTGTTAACACAGCAGTGCCGTAAGAAGCCGCATAAACCAGACGCCATTGAGCCATAGAAGCAAAAACAATGGATGAAACAAACGAGCTAGCCAAACAACAAGAAGAACTTGGGAACGAAATCAACCGGATCTTAATCAATAGCAAAAAAGACCCGGTAACGAGAAAAACTGGTGAATATATAAAAACACGAAAAGCCGCCTTAGACCAAGCATGGGAAAACGTAAGAAAAAACCACGAAGAAATGGTAGCATTGGGCATACACCAGCACACATACTTCACTACAAAATATAGTGAACAAATTAGCAGCATCTACAACGAAGCCAAAGCCTATTTGAAGAACTGCCAAAAAGCGTACGAAAAAGCAAAAGCTGAAGGCGAAAACGAACAAATCGGGCGTATGAACAAAAAAGAGATAATGATCCAAGAAATATTATACGCCGCAAAATCAATCGAAGAGAAATTGAAAGAAACTAAATCAGTCTCAAGATACGCAATACTATTAGAAGAGCTGCTAGATCAATGGATGATGATAAAGAAACAGCATAATGAAATTATGGCTAACGCCTCCAAACTGGAAGAAAGTTACATGGCGGATCATAGGGCCCTAACACAAAAAATACACTTGCTACAAGAGAAAGTTCAGGAAAGAATTAAACAAGGAACAAGCTCTCCCAACTCCAGCCTTCCAACTATGAAACTCCCAACTTTCTCAGGAAAATACGAAGATTGGCCCACCTTTTTTGATCTATTTACGAGATTGATAGATCAAAATTCGTCACTCAGCAATTCCGAGAAACTGCAATTCCTGAAATCCCAGCTGCAAGGAGATCCGCAAAACATAATCAAGCACTTAATGATTACCGGAGATAACTATGGAACAGCACTGGACCTACTAAAACAACGCTACCAAAATACACGATTGGTCGTCTACAAACTCCTAGATAAAATCATGGAACTACCATCAGTCACGCACGAGTCCGCAGAAAAAATAAAACAGCTCCATGACGTATCAATTGAATGTCTGGAAACAATCAAAAATCTAGGCACAGCAATAAATCCAGATGTTACAGCCCAGAAAAATGCAGAACCTGCAACCGGTCACACCACACATTACTTCATCAGGAAATTAATACTAGATACCAAGGCTCCGTTAATGCTGGAAACCACCACAACCATCTTGGATACTCTAGAAATCCAAGAAGCAATCACTATACAGCAAGCAATAGCCACCTAGACATCAAAGAAGTTCTACTTGCCACGGCCCTAGTGGTAAGCCAGGCTGCCGACGGATCAGGAAAAATGCTAAGAGTACTGATCGATCAAGGCTCACAAGCGTCGTTTATAACTGAGCAGGCGGCCCAGCTATTAGCTCTGCCAAGAGAAAGAATATGTGCAGAAATAACAGGAATGGGAAGTGAAGACGCCAGGATATCAAAATCAAAAGTCACCACCCAGTTAAAAGCACGATTCCCAAGTAACTTCTCACTAAATGTCGAACTGCTGGTATTACCAAAAATTACCAGAGCTCTCCCGAACCAACTGTTGCCTGAAATCGAATCTCAACAATGGAAAAACGACATACTAGCAGATCCTACATTCAACACAACCGGACCAATTGATATTTTACTAGGAGCCGAAGAATACAGCAAAATAATTCTAGAAGGTCTAAAAAAATGCGACTCAGGATTGGTAGGACAGAAAACAGAGTTTGGATGGATCTTGTCCGGACCAATGACAATGAGCAGATCAACCAACCTAAAAATAGCAAGTATGGTCGCTCGCATGGAGGAAGACAAACAGTTGTCAAAGTTCTGGAAAATCGAAGAAGTTCAGGCAAAAAAGCTACTAACAAGAGAAGATCAAGAATGCGATGAATATTATGTCAGAACAACCAGTAGAAATAAGAATGGCTTTTACACAGTGCGTATTCCATTCAAAGAAAAAACAGACCTAGGAAATTCAAAAAACCGAGCGGTAGCAAGATTGCAGCAGTTGGAGAAGAAATTTTCTCGAGACAAGAGCTTATACAATCAATACGCCCAATTTATGGAAGAGTATTTAACGCTAGGCCACATGAGAAAGGTGCCTTGGAATGAAAAAAATGAAGGAAAATACTATATCCCACATCAGGCAGTGATAAGGGAAGACAGCTCAACAACCAAGCTTAGAGTCGTATTTGACGCCTCATCGATAACCGACAAAAACATTAGTTTAAACCACACCATGCATACAGGCCCTAGATTGCAACAAGATATCTCAGAAACATTGCTCAGATGGCGGAAACACAGAATAGCGTTTGTGGCAGACATCGAAAAAATGTATAGACAAATATTGATTCATAGAGAAGATCGCCAGTATCAAAGAATAGTATGGAGATTCAATCCTTACGAACCAATACAAGAATATGAATTACTCACTGTGACCTACGGCACAGCCTCAGCTCCATATTTAGCCATAAGAACACTGCACCAATTAGCCCAGGATGAAAGTACCAACTTTGACGAAGCATCAAAAATTCTGATGACGGACTTTTACGTAGATGACGTACTTCTGGAGCAAACAGCATTAAGAAGGCTGAAAAACTTCAACAAGACCTAGTGAAAGCAGGAGGATTCACGCTGAGAAAATGGGCGAGCAATTCAGTAGAATTCCTTCAAAAGATTCCAGACGCTCTAAAAGAGAAAACAACTCTCGAAATAGGCGAGGAAGAAACAAAAAAGTCGTTAGGAATTTTTTGGGTATCTAAAGAAGACACATTACTATTCAGAGTCAATCCATCAAGTGAAACGTGTCTAACAAAAAGACAAATTCTTGTAGCATTTTCATTTTCCTCTAATTTAAATTCATATAAAATGCTACAATTTTGGAACAAATAGTAAAACAATCAATTTTAGTTTTAAGAATGTTTATTAATTATAATTAAATAAATTAATGAATAAACAATATGTTTATCTTGGTAACTGTAAATTCTGGTTGGGAAATCTCTGGCATCAACTTCTGTTTTCTTATGGGTGTCTTCAAGAACCTAGAAAGAGAAAAAAAAATAAATAAAAGAAAAATGTGACAAATCACCGATTACTTTTGTGATATAAAAACTTACCTGTATCTATCCCAAAACCAATTCAGATTCCGCTATTGTGGAGTTTCTCTTTGCTCACCCATTTTCAAATTTTTCTATTTTTCCATCACAGTTAAATCCAACCCTGGTGTTTGGTCTATTTTAAATTACGGCTGGCCTTGTCACCGTTCAGCGAATATTTTTGGGGGGATCTCCCACCGCCTTGAACGAATACTGGAAATTTCAGTTTATTTGGAGTTATCTTCGCAAAGATACAATCCTGCCAAGAGCAAGAGAATAATATTTTATAGTTTTTCAATTTTTCTGCTGCACTATTTTCAAACATTTCGGCTTTATTATTCTTCCTAGAGACTGACAATATTTTCTACATTCATTCAATCTCGATATGCTAAATCTGCTCGCATGAATTGATTCAGACTCAAAATTATACGTTTAATTCCAGAAGGACGAAATTTATTCTCCAT